CCGACCGAAAAAGGACCGGATATTTGGAGCAGGATGAAGGAACAGGTAAGGGTGCATGGGATCAAATCGGAGGGGGAGGGCGACCGGATCCATTGGGGACAAGTCATAGATGGGGTAATCTATGGCATGATAAAGGAGGCACCTCGAGGGACTGACTTCGGGGACGGTGACAAGGAGATGAGAGTATTCACACAGGAGGAATGGGGGGGTCTACTTAGGAATATGAAGGAATACGACTGCGATTCGAATAATTATGGGCAGGAGTTATTAAGGGTTATTTCCTGCATAGTACTGAAGATAGTAGGAGCTGAATCAGGAACGGAGAAAGAGCAACAACAGCTCAAGTCATGGTGTCAGGACGTGTATGAAAAGTTAGGGTATGAAGGAATGCGATTAAGAAAAAGGGAGGACGGGTTAGGATTCAAACTGGAAGGGGCCAAGGGAACGTGTCAGGGTAGTACCGGCTACGGGAACTGTCAGGAGGAGTCTTTAAGACTCTTATGGAGCGTCATGAGTTCTCTTGGGCGATTGTGTCAGGGATGTGGATTAAGGGGAGTGGAGGAATGGTTAGGTAGAGGCGTAAAGGGCACAAGGAAAGACTTCCTATATTGTGAGTTCCCCAGCCAGGGTTCATTAAGGTGCACTGAGGATTCCGAAAATAGTAGCGACAAGGTGAAGATTAATGTATACAGTCGAATCAGCCCAGCCGCCCTCTCCCCCACCTCCAAAACCCAAGAAGGAGAACCCCTAAAGAGTCCAATGCCGAGCCAGGACCCTCGTCCTTCCACAGCTGAACACCCCCAGGAACAACAGCCAGGGAGGCGGGATGGGTTCACTGGCAAAGAGCAAAACGGGGCCTCTCCACCACAGCACAAAGCGCCAGGAGCAGGAACTGATGGACACACCACAGAAACAGGTTCTCCGGACGATCTCACCGCGAGAAATGATACAGACGGCGGGAGGAAGGGCCCGATGGGGGAGGAGGATACAGCTCCAGTGTCTACCACAACGGGAGCAGCTCCCGCCACAGGTCCCCAGGCGACAGAGAGGAACTCCCATGCGGCCACTGATGTGTCTGCAAAATCCATAACCCAGAAAACAAGAGAGGGGCCCTTAGTTAATACCAAAGATGGGGGGCAAGTGGAGGGGGGGGGATATGGAGGAGTAATAGGGGGGGTTACCAGCATCATAGTTTTAGGCACAATAGCCGTCTATGGATATTGGAGAATATTTGGAAGGCGTCGGAGGGCTAGAAGCACAAATTGGAACACACGTGGGACGGATCATATAGCCTATATGCCACAGGAGCATTAGGAGAGGGAACCCACAAAAGGACTACAAGGAAGGAAGAACTTGGGGACTCGTAAGGGGGGAGATCATACGGCATTGATTCGCAGGAAGGGTAGAAGGGTCAGCCAAGGCCTGGGGTGTTTGAGGGATTTGGGGTTCACAGATGCACATTGTTGGTTCGGGTGTTTTGGGCTCAGGGTTTAGGATTCAGCATCCAGTTCTTAGGATTTAGGGCTTAGGGGTTCAGTTTTTACGGTTTAGGTCCCGGGTTTAGGGTTTATCGTTTCGGGTTTAGGGTTCAGGCTTCAGGATTCGGCCTTCTGCTGTTAAGGTTTGGGGTCCTCGCGTTAACGTGTACTGTTTAGGGTTGGACTTTCAACGTTTAGGCTTCAGTGTTGAGGGGGGAGAGCTTTAGGGTTTTCTGAATCTTGGATTAGGGCGTACGTCTCCCTTTTAGTATAGATGGTTTAGAGTTTAGAATTCAAGTTTTAGGATTTAGAGGGTAAGCTTTAGGATTCAGCGTTCTGGGTTCAAGGGTTAAGATTTCGCGATCTTCAAGTTATGAATGAGCCTTTAGGAATTAGGAAATAGCGTTTAGGGTTTGGACCCTGAGGAGTTAGGGGCTGTTGGTTACATCTAGGGCTTAGGTATCACGATTTAGGCTTTAGGACTCGAACGTCGGGTTTTCCGCTCCTAGGGTTGTGGGTTTGAAGGTTTAGAGCTCATCGTGTATGATGTCCCGGTCTAGGGTTTTCGGTCTATGGCTTAGTCGTTTAGTGCTTTACGGTTTACTTTTTGGCTTGTTGCTTCAGATCTAGGTGTATAACTCATTTTTCATGATTTAGATTATAGCCGTGCTTGCTTAGGATTCAGGTTTTACCTTTCAAGCTTTAGTGGGTATTGCTTATGCCTTAGTGTTTAGGCCTGATGCTTATGTTTTAGGATGTATGGTTTTTTATTTAGGTTTTAGGTTTCATATGTCCCCTTCAACGTCTCACTACTTAGGTAGATCGTCTGGACTTAAGGGTTCAGGTTTTATGGTTGTGGCTTATCGTTCAGGCTTGACTTTTCATGGATTACGCTTTATGTTTATTTTGTAGGATTCAGGTGTATGGTCCAATTTTTCTTTTTCTCCATTGAGATTCTCGAATATTACTTATAGCCTACGCCCTACATATGAGCACCAGATTTCAGGGTATTTCTTGGGAGGTAGCGTCTATCTTCTATGAACTAAGTTTATCCGGCGTGCCTCTTTATTTCAGGCTTTTTGCCTTGAGTTCTCGCGAGTTTTTTGCTATAGCTTAGGCATTAGGGAGTAGCTTCTAGGAGTTTTTTCTTTGATTTATTCTCTATTTTTGCTGACTCTTTTCCCATTTAGTCTTTAGCGTCTGAACCTTACCCTTCCTGGCTGAGGTTTAGATTTCCTAGTATATAGTCTACGGTTTAGGACTTAGTGGGCTGTATTTATGCTGCTTGTTCATCTGTGAAATTTACCTTTTCCGGTTCCCCCTCCTCCGTTTTAAATTTTACTACTGTGGCGTCATCCCTGGGGTCCCCACGCTTAGGTATTGTAGTTTATGTGGATGGTTCACTTTTTGTTTTTATAGTTTTGGGGTGTACTCCTACGAGAGAAGGAGTATTCTTATTTCTTGGATATAACTTCCCCCTTTTGGGTTCTGCTGAGAGATTTCCCCTTATGTGTCACTCTTCTCTCCTCATGTCCCTTCCCTCACATTCTATCTGTTAGGCTCAGGGTACAATGTCTCTGGTCCGGCGGCTTGTTGTTTATGTTTTACTGCTTATAACTTGGGTGTTTCCCGGTCCTATTAGGACTTCATCCTCTAGCGTGTGTGGTCTAGCATCCAGGGGTAGATGTTACATGTATGCTTCTCGGGTATTGATTACGCCTACGGATTTTTCTTCAGAGTGCACTCCTTACGACCTGATGCTTTTCGCCTCCCTGAGTACATCTACTGCCTATGCTTCTCCTATGTAGGGTCAATTCCTTATTGGTCAGGGGTGTGGCAGGACTTCCTGTGCCACTATCTTTAACTCCGTCCTGTAGGATTTAGGATTCGGAGTTTCAGCCTTCGCCCCCTTGGGTTAAATTGTAGGCTTCATGATTCAGGAAGGCTGCGGGACGGTTTATGATTTAGTGATTATGAGATATGCCTCATTCACGGCTGTTGACTTGCAAGGCGTAGGCGACGTGCTCTCCCGAGGTCCGCGCATTTCTTATTTTGTCAGTTTCTTGTCTCTTCCTTTATCATATGCTACTGATGGCATATTGTTTAAGCCACGCCTCTGGCCCGGTGTCCTATTCCCTGTGATCCCTTGCTTATCGCTTACTCTGTTGGTTCATGCCTTACATCCTTTCTTTTGATACCTTCCCTTAATTGCTATCGCTAAGATTTTATGGAGTATTTTTAAAGAATAGAGCTGTCTCCAGAGACTTCACCCTTATTGTTGTTTTTCTAGGCTCGTAGTTCACTGACGGATATTTCGCCGTTTAAGCACCCGTTCCCTTCGGGTTCTAGCAAGGGCACCCCTCTTTCGGGGCAGGGGGGGGCTTCGTGGTGGTACGCTTTCTCACGTACTCCGTATTTTGTAATGTTTAGGAGTAATTTCGTATCCTCCATCCCCACTCCTTCACTTTGGAGTTCATTGGGCATGCTTGATCCCGTACCCGCACGTTTCCATGTTTTAGTCCCCTGGCGGTGGGCCCTTCCTTATTCCGCTTTATTCACTCCTCCTGTGGGATAAGTAACTGTAGACGCCTAAGATTCTCTGATTATTTCTTAGCCTTCTCGTGACTATTGTTAGGATTTCACGATTTAGGGTTTAGGTTTCGGCGTGTAGTTGATTGGTTCTAATCCTCAGACTCCATGTTTTAGCTGTTACGACTTATTGGGGAGACGTTGGTCTTAGGATTTTTTGTCACTTTCTACGGCTTAGTCCCAGGGTTTCTTGTTTACATCTTCGGTCCCTCTGCGGCCTACTCCCTGTCATTCCGTATTTACTAAGGCTCACGAGGCTCTATTGTATCCTGAGGACTGAGGCTCCAGGCCTGATGGTTGCTGGTTTAGCTCTACTGTGTACTGTTTTGCCGATACTCTGATGGTGTAGCCGTCCCTTATTCAGTGAACTTCCGCTCTCGCACGTCGTATCCTCATAGTTCATAGACTATTTTTTTTATAGAGTTGTCAGATGTAGGCTCCCCCGTTCAGGGTCCAAGGTTGTTTGGTAGATTTTGTCTTATCATTCTTCAGGGTACTTCTGCGAAGGTTTCTGCCTTAGGAATCAGGTTTACTTCCTAAAGGGGTTAATTTTTTCTGTGATTGCCTATTGGTTCTTTTTTACTTCTTAGGCTTTAGACACTGGCCCCTTTCCTCGTTCTTCAATGTTAAGTCTTCATGTCCTATGATTTGTTGTCCATGTCCTATGATTGAAGGCTTCTTATTGTTGGGCTGGGATTGGTCATCAGCTCCTAACTCTTACTCCTTACGGTTAACGATATAAGGCTGCTCTCCTGGGCTCTATAGCTTGGACTTTAATCAGAGGGTCTCAGGCATCATTGACCACTCCCTGTTCTCAGGGGGCTTCGCCTGGGCCCTGATTTACTTCATCATCTCCTTGTGTGGTGAGTAATTCTGTGCTCCCTGTTCTTCCTTAATGCGCGGTTCTTTAACTTCCTTTTATGTCCTCCTTTTTGATGGGGGGAAAGATAGAATAAGAGATCTATCCTAAGATTCTTTATTATTCTTCCCATTTTCAATATATCTTAGGTTTCTTCACATAAAGATACTGAACAATCAATGTTTAGACACCAGCCGTGTCCTGTATTGATATATATACAGAGGGACAAAAGTTCTACTGACTTACGGCTATTTTCTTGGCTATTCTATTCTCATTTTTCTCCCATAGGATATATTCGTAAAATGGTGGAGTCATAAAGGCGGGGAGGTGGCGCTGAATCATAGTTCACAGATTCATCTTTATTAACGCTAATCATTACTTCTGTAATATCTTCCCTTCAGGATTCGGTGTCTATATTCAAATTTGTACCTTTCCCTTGTTTTATGTCACTAGTGAATTTCTCTTAATCATATGGTTACTAGGGGAAGAATACACAACACGCTTGCTGTTTCACAATTCTTTGAATGCTTTTAATGAAACGTGGCAACACAAGTTGAATGATCTGTATTTATCACTTGATTTCCTGCTTCTACAAGGAACTTTTACATATGACTCTGGAGTAATGGGGATTAGAGGAGAGTACTGCAAAACGCCCCGATCCACTTTTAGAGGAGATATTTTGTCGGTTATAGAGCCCACTGGGGACCCGGATTGCCCCTGTGTTCATAGAAAATATATTTATATGTGACGTCCATTAAATTAACCTCCTTATTTAGTTGTTGATTATAAATGTGGTCGGGAGAGATATTATGCTCATTACTGCCCTTCAGATACAACTTCGATATAGTGATACTATGACTACTCGTATTTTATCTTTTATCATGCAGAAGAAAGTTTATCACTCGGATATTACCACGTTGAAAGACAGACGGAAGGAAACGGATAAATAGTATAAATATTGTTACTGTTTCCCTACTGACAGATGTATGAAGCCGTGGCAGAATCGGTGAAGATTAATATTGCCGTGTCAACTCATCTGTTCGCTTATGTACACGGATCTAAATAACGCTCATTAGTTGGCATCATCTTCCTATTTCATACAGAACTGAGAGACTCTTTACTTATACTTACAATATATCCCGATTATAATATCATTGTGGACAATCAAGTGTCTATATTGGAATTGTTAGATTACCGTTCCCTATTAATGTTGTGTGCAGTGCGAATAAACATGCTTCTTCTATAAAATTGTATTTATGACTATGATATATCATACTCTATACCAGGATTGTGGAGACATTATTCGGCTGTTTCTTTAGGGGTTAAATCACAAAGCTATCAGTAACTTACTGCTACTACTTGGAAGAAGGAAGCAGATAATTATTCGC